TACCAAGTGGAGGTAGCGGGTAGTGGGACTAACTTGTACAGTGAGGCAACGTTTTGTCTAGTAGGACTGTCTGGTAGGACAGGAGACATCCATACATACATTTTTCCAACAATGACCTTGTAGTACCATATCACCCTATTAGAGCGCTTCGCTCTCGCTCTGCAGGCCTACTTGTTGTTCCTAGAGTATTTAAAAGTAGAATGGGAGGCAGAGCCTTCAGTTTTCAGGCCCCTCTTCTGTGGAACCAGCTTCCAGTTTGGATTCAGGAGACAGACACTATCTCTACTTTCAAGATTAGGCTTCAAACTTTCCTTTTTGCTAAAACATATAGTTAGGGCTGGACCAGGTGACCCTGAATCCTCCCTTAGTTATGCTGCAATAGACGTAGGCTGCCGGGGGATTCCCATGATGCACTGAGCATTTCTTCAGTCCCCTTTCTCACTCACTATGTGTTAATAGACTTCTCTGGACTGAATCATACTTGTTATTAATCTCTGTCTCTCTTCCTCAGCACGTCTTTATCCCGTCTTCCTTCTCTCACCCCAACTGGTCGCAGCAGATGGCCCCGCCCCTCCCTGAGCCTGGTTCTGCCGGAGGTTTCTTCCTGTTAAAAGGGAGTTTTTCCTTCCCACTGTCACCAAAGTGCTTGCTCATAGGGGGTCATATGATTGTTGGGTTTTTCTCTGTCTGTATTATTGTAGGGTCTACCTTACAATGTAAAGTGGCTTGAAGAAAATGTTGTTGTGATTGGATGCTGTATACATAAAATAAAATAAAACTGAATACTGATAGAAGTTAAATAGTCTTTAAGCGAGACGTGATTAAAATCATCTAGAATGAAGTTAGGTGCCTCTGGTGAAAGTGATTGCCGTTTATTCACTACATCACTGCTGTTATAAAAAGCTGTGGGAACAGGTAAAATGGACAAACTGATACTGATAAAAGTTCAACATCTGCTGTGCAGATTAGTTCCATGACAGTCACAGAGTTACAGTTTCATTCAGTAAAATAAAGACATACGTCGCCTCCTTGAGTTTTCTGGGTCACCTCGGCCTTTCGATCTAGACAAAAGGGTAATCTGAATCCCTCCAGAAAAAGGTCTGAAATCCTGTTTGGGCCCACTAAGCAATGTCTCTATAAAGGCTAAAATGCCACAATCTCTAAAATCCTTTTAGAATCAATGTTTCCCTGGAGCACACTCAGTTTGCTCCTCAGAACGTTGGCCATGATAACCAAGAGCAGGGGAAGCCGGGTGTTTTCTCAGGAGCAACTTTACGCCAGCGTGTTTATCCTGCTTCCTCCTCCTGCGTGACTCACTAGGGATAATTTTGTGTGGAAGAAGAGGCATACGACGTGTGAAATGCTCATTTATATGTGAGTGTGCACAGAGCCTGGACCAAAAAGCCTAGTTTAACAGATATAGCTGATAACCACCACTGTGATACTTACTGTCTCGACTGGGCTTGCCAAGTCAATTAATGCAAAGAAAGCCTCGCTGTGTTGAGCTTCTTTCATAGTATACCCTTGTGCCCTAATCTCACAGTGTGTTGCGTCACTGAGAGCTGCTGAGCTATGTAGGATTGTGCCTGGTACTAGCAGAGGCTGGCAAAAAGGAGGAGGGGGTAGAAAAGGAGAGGCAGGAGGAGAGTTAAGTCTGCTTGTCGTGTCTTAGTTTTATTCATTTATTACGTTTCAGAATAAAACCAAAGGCTGATTGTGTTTCAGCCTTTTTTTCAGCTCTTTGTATAATTAAGACTCCATTGCTGAAGAAATAGCATGTTCAAGTGCATTTAAAGTTTGCTGAACAACATTTAGACTGTCTGTGAAATACTGGGGAGAGTCTGATCAGATCGGACCAAAATTGAACTGTTTGGATGCCACAATACAGATCCTGTTTGGACGTCAAAAGCCACTGCGTATCACCCCCAAAACACGATACCAACAGTGACGTTTGAAGGTGGAACTATGCTGTAGGGCTGTTTATCGGCATATGGCACTGGCAGTCCTCTAAAAATCGAAGGAAGGATGAATGGAAAAATGTACCCAGACATTCTTGATAAAAATTGACTGCCATCTACCAGGATGATGAAGATGAAATAAGGGTGGATCTTTCAGCAATGCAATGATCCAAAGCACACAGCCAAAGAAACTGTCAACTGGTTTCAGAGAAAGAAAATAAAGCTGCTAGAATGGCCCAGCCAATCACCTGACATGAATCCAATTGAAAAACTCACAGTTCACAGAAGGTGCCTTCAGGATGTGAAGGTTGTTTGTGTGGAAGGATGGGCCACAATCACACCTGAGCAATGCATGCAACTAGTTTCTCCGTACGGGAGTCTTGAAGCTGTCGTCACCAAAGTAATAAATACATTTCAGTAACAGTGTTCAATATTGTTCCCTGTGTCATTTCTCATAATGACACATAATTTATGGACACCTATGGTTTCAGATCTTTGCATGTGTGGATTGGATGGGTTGTTACCAGCAACCGGTGAGAGTTTCATCTCAGTAGCGCCTTTCCAAATGTATTGAATGCCAGAGTTACTTGAGTGGCTCATAAAAAATGTCTATGCTTTTGACTTTCACTTTTAGATCGCCCAACCCCACTAACAATTTGTCCTTAAAAGATCCAAAGTTTGAAATCAGACCATAGAAGATCGGCTTAATTGTGTGTGTGTGTGTGTGTGTGTGTGTGTGTGTGTGTGTGTGTGTGTGTGTGTGTGTGTGTAGTTAGACAGTCACTTCAATCTGACTTTGCTACAGGAAGTCACCAAAATTTTTCTCACTGGATATTCTCTTCCCACTGCCATCCCTGCAGGTACCACCCTTTCCAAACTGGAACAAACACTGGTGTAACCGATTTACAGTAACTGGAAAGTGGGTCGCCCACAGGGCTCCACTGCCAGGGGAAGCATTGAGCAAGTTTTCCATATCTCACCCAGATTTCCATAGATTTATTGGACAGTAAATGCCACTACTCTGTGGAGTGAGGGCTGATTGATGGTCCATTCAGGTTGGTTTGTTTTTTTCCCCCCACAGATATGAGCCACCACACAGAAGTAATTTGCAGTTTGGTACGGCAATCCAGTAAGTTACACCTGCAAATAGAGAGAAAATTGGCCATGACGATTTGCACCTGCTCTACCAGGTGTAACAATTGAGTTTAACATCCAGGCATCCATGAAAACGGAATTTATGACATTTAACGGAGTTAGAAGTTAGCAGGGAGTTAGCTCGCTAGCTTCTATCTAAATACAATATAGCATGTCCTGACTGCGGGGTTTTGGAAACAAATTCAAACGTACAGCTCTGTTATCACTTCCAGCATAAATGAAGACAGAAAACTAAACAGCAGTGACGTTTGTAGGGTTACTGAAGTTGGGCTAGCTGGTATATAATGATGTGCTACGTGACCGCTAGCGACACAGCTATGTTAGCATAATATAAACAAGCTAACTTTTTTTCCACTCGATAAAAGTTAACGTGAGTGTTCTCGGTGGTCAGGAACAAATGTAATCGCATGGCAGGATGCTGTAAAAGGACCAAACTTCAGCCAGGAGAACAACTGAGATAATCCATCCACAATACGAGGTTAGTCATTCATATACTGCTGCATGGGCTGGGCTGTAGTTACATCCTAAGGTTTTAAAAACTGAGCTTAAATAAATGATTAGCGGTAATAAAAGCCGAGGGAGGTCAACAGTGATCACTGACTGTTTTAGGAGCTTTTTGAGATCAAATAGAAGAAAATACAAAACATTAAACATGTTAACAACACAAAAGCCATATTAAACGCAGACTACTTTAGACCCGGAAGTAGGATTCGTCACGTCATCACTGAACGACCAGATAACGAAGGGAGTGGACTGGACACCACGTGGTCAGACACTCCTCCTCCGTGATATATGTGGCCTTACGCTCTCTGACAGCTTTCGGCTGATGTACACAATGGACCGGTTGGCCTCCTTACCTGCTGGGACAAAATGGCCTGCAGCCTCTGGCACTGCTCCATCCACTGGACCAGATCTGGCTCCACATTTTGGGTGAGCTCAGTCAAGGGACTGGATAACTCTGCAAACCCAGGCACAAACCAACAGTAGTACCCAGCCAGCCCCAAGAACCTTTTTTGGTCTTGGGACGCGGGCAGGATGCGATGGCTGTTGTTTTCTCCATCTGAGTGCATCCACTCTGTCACACCTGCAACTGTTGCAGAATGCTGCGGCACAGCTTTTAACTGGTAAAAAGATAATTTGAGCATATTACTCCAGTTCTGGCCTCCTTACATTGGCTTCCAATTGAATTTAGAATCTATTTTAAAATCCTTTCACTGGTTATAAAATCCTTAAATGGTCTGGCACCTCATTGTCCCCCCCTCATTCACTCCGGTCAGCTGAGCTGTTGCTCTCAGTCAGTAGATCACGGCTGAAACTTAGAGGAGACTCTACTGTTGCCCCAGCCGGCGGGTGAAGGCAAAAAGTTGGTCCTCCGCCTACATATGGCGCCCCCCCACCCCCCCCCCGCTGGGCCATGATAGCCTTACAAACATCCATGAAGGTGATTGGCTGGGCCATTCCAGCAGCTTTAATTTCTTTCTCTGAAGCCAACTGAGAGTTTCCTTGGCTGTGTGTTTGGGATCATTGTCTTGCTGAAGCATACTCCCTCATTTGGTCTTCATAATCCTGGTGGATGGCAGCCGATTGTTATCAAGAATGTCTTGGTACATTTTTCCACTCATCCTTCCTTCAACTTTATGAAGACTGCCAGTGCAGTCTCCCCATGCTCACAGATTGAGGTCGTACTGGTTTTGCTGCTGTAATCTTTTAGAATTGAGCCCCTGGTCCTGATCTGATCATCACGATCCACAGTGGTCTCTAATTCTTACAGCATCTGTCGCCACTTCTTTACATCAAGATTATCCCTGATCTAAAGCTGTTACAATTAAACTGCATCCTGTAATAATCTCTGCTTCTGGGGCTGTTAATGTAAATTTCTATTATGACTCTTCATTTGTCTCATGTTCACAGATAAATGACCATGGGGAAAGGCTGCATGACAGCGAGCAAGTACTTCTTGTTCTTCTTCAACCTCATCTTCTTTGTAAGTATTTTAAATTTACTAGTGACTCATAAAAGTGTTCTGTTGCAGAAAAATGCACCTTTAGGATGGTGTTAGAGCAGCTGTATGTTTGTGATTGAGTTTATTACTCCATTCAGTTCACGTCAGTTTGATTTAATATTGCACCAAATCACAACAAGAGTCGCCTCAAGGCGCTTAATATGGTGAGATAAAAACCCGACAATAACAAAGTACATTTGATAACACATAAGTAAGCATGGGAAAACTGTCCAGCTTGTATTGTAGAATATTATGCTTTGGCCTAAGATCTACTTTTTAGAAGAATTTTATAAATCTTAGATTGTGTCAAATGGTGCTAAATAGAACAGAATAGAATAGAGTTTATTTTGAACATGTAAATATAAGTAAAATGACAAAAGATTAAACCACTGACAGGTGGTTAGGCACAGATCATCTTCTTACAATGATTTGTAAGCATACTCCCTCATTTGGTCTTCATAATCCTGGTGGATGGCAGCCGATTGTTATCAAGAATGTCTTGGTACATTTTGCCATTCATCCTTCCTTCAACTTTGTGAAGACTGCCAGTGCAGTCTCAATGTCAGTTACATTGATTTGTAAGAAGATAATGCAATGTTATGTTGGGATACCAAGGGCCCAGGCATTTAAGGCATTCCTGTCCAGGGTGTACTCTGCCTTTTGCTCTGTGACAGCTGAAATAGACTTTCCAACCCCTTAAATTGGATAAGCAGAAGAAAAAGGATGGATATATAAATATGGTTTAAAGTAGCGCTTATTTTGCTCTGACAGTGTAAGGCAGTTTAAGGCACCAACATTAACAGTCCACCAAAGCGACCAATCTTCCTTTGGGCTCTGCCCTCCAAACAGTGAAAAGTTAAGTTAGTTTATGCAAGCAGGATTCAGCTTTGAGCACATTAAGCAACCTGTCTGCACGAAACTGTAGCAGTGAGTGCAACGCAGACACTCTCATATGCATGATGGCTTTTTTGTGCAAGTGGCTGTGAGTTCTATGCATGCATGTTATAAAAATTAACATCTAAGGAATTTAATTGTGCTTGCAATAGTTTGGGGGTGGTTTTCGCACACTGAACTTTTGGCATACACTACTGGTCAAAAGTTTTAGAACACCCCAATTTGTCCATTTATTTATTGCAATTCAAGTCGTTCATGTCCAATGAATAGCTCGAAATGATACAAAGGTAAGTGGGTGAACTGCCAGACCTTTTTTTAAAAAAAGGTAAGGTTACCCAGAACTGAAAAGTAATTTACATGTTAGAATTATACAAAAAGGCTTTTCAAAATGGGTTAACAATTTAAAGCTGTTCTGCAGCAATGGAGGTTCATCAAGCCTTGAGAGCTGGTGCTACTAATTCCTACAGCTGTTTCAACTGTTTTAAATTACTTACAACCCCCTCTGTGTGCATATTAGCAGTGTTGGAACGCACTGGAAAAATCAGCTGAACAGTCTTGTACTGCAGAAAGTAGTGCGTTGCTGCAAAAATGGTGAGAGGGCCATTATCAATGGAGACAGACCATCATAGCAAAAAGTCAAGGTGTCATTGAGTACAGTTTCATTCACCACTCAGAAACAAACTCTGACAGGAAGAGGTCCAGCAGATCTAAAGCCAAAACTGAATCAGAGGACAAGTTTGAAGACAAGACTTTGAGCTGCAGGTTTGACAGGACGAGTTGCATTGGATTTCTACTGTGGAAAGAATGCCACAGGTGTGTTCAGCTGTTATATCTGCCAAAGGTGGCTACTTTGATGAGTCAAAGATTTAGAATACGTTTTGGGCTATAAGTCGATTACATGATTCCCTTTTTTAACTCCAATGGCTTATTTGTACTATGCTTTCTTTTCAGAGTGCAATGTGATGTTAAACTGCATAATTTTCAATAAAAAATTGGAGAAAGTGGGATGTAAATGTAATTCCAAACAAACATAGACAAACATGTTGTTGGCTTGTTGGCTAATATTTAGGAATATTCAATACAGCAACTTTTAGTCAAAATAAAGGTAAAATGTCAAGAAATTAATCAACTCAGGACAATTTTCGCTGTTGCATTAAAACTCTTAATAGAGTGGGTTTTCATTGTACCTGCATTTCACCCTCTGCATTTGCAGCTTCCACTGTTCCTATTTGTTCTGACAGATATTTCCCCTACAGTTTACCTTTAGATACTTCTGAAAACACATAATTTCATGCTTCTCATTAGTGAGTTTTTAGAACCAATTTTGATCAAAGTGTTTTTTTAAATACATGAAAATCATGGAAAGGAAGTGGTGCTTGTAACTATCAAATTTCTTGTGACATCCTTTCATTCTGATAGTTCTCATGCAGTTCTCATATGTATCCTGCAGCTGTTTGGGGCCGTCATCGTTGGCTTTGGATTTTGGATTCTCTTGGACAATCAGACTTTCATCGTTGCCCTGAGTAAGTGCTTGATCAGGTTTGAGGTCATCTGTACTTCTCTGTGTGTTTTAACCAGTGGTGGGAAGTAACGAGGTACAAATACTTTGTTACTGTACTTGAATGAATTTTTAGGTATCTGTACTTGAGTGTTTATTTAAATTGATGGTTTTCAGGGTTTTTATTGTTGACTTTGTTTCCCTGAGTCTTTTCCCATGTTGTAGTTGTGCGTCTTATTTTGAAAGAAGTATTTACACGTTACCATAGCAGCCAGAGAGCATTAAGGGGCAGATAGGAGGATCTAACTCTTCATATTGTTGGCGCATTTCAGGCGGACGCTGCTAATAAAGTTACACAATTACACAGTGAATTCGTGTCTATTAATATATTTACAAAATACAACAGTTTTTTTCTTGTTGGTATCATTTTATTTTGTTGTATTTATCCGCAACACCTTAAAGGCCGATCCGTTAAACCGGTGACGTTAAACCGGTCCGTGGACCAAAAAAGGTTGGGGACCGCTTATCTAGAGCATGTATACTTGGGAGTCAAAGTGGGCTGAAAGGTACGGTGGCTGGGGAGTGCAAATTGCAACAAATTAAAAAAACCACAACAAATTAAAAAAACCACAACAAATTAAAAAAACCCACAACAAATTAATAAACCCCACAACAAATTAAAAACCCGCAACAAATTAAAAATAAGGATAATTATTAGGCCATATATAAATAACAAAATAACTTAAAGCAAAATTGGAGAACGCAAAGTCTGAAACAAGTCTTTATATTAAGGGCCATCAGTCAAACAATACTGTTTGGTCTGGGTCTGACCAGAGCGTGTTGTGTGTGACATCTGCTTTTGCGCATGCAGGCCACTTTGAAGGTTCACAAAGGAGCGCTTTTGCTGTCACATTTTATTTGTAGTGTGAACAAGCAGAAACAAAAAATCAGATTTAAATATAAAAATCGGAATTGAGCATTAAGACCTGCAGTGTGAACGTAGCCATAGTGAGTTCAGTGCACTGATGTGACATTGTCCTGAAGGATTTAGTTATTCTCAATGGTTAAAGAAATTGCAATTATTTATTCATATTTATTATAATCCTAATTATATATCTTGCTTCCATGTTTGTGTCCTGTGTCACAAAAAATACATTTTTTACTATAATACATTGATTAATATCAGCTCGTCTCACAGCTGCTATCCAGACGCCTTCTTTTGGTAACATCCGATACAAGAGCTGCCTCATGTTGCTTCCAGGTGGGGAAAGAATGAAAAGATAAACCATTTTCACCTTATTCCCTTGCCGGTCGTGCGATCTAACTTTACAACCGACCGCACAGCAAGTACGAACCATAGGTGGTATTATCCGTGTACTTTCGCTCCTCTTTCGCTAGCGCTTTGTTTGGCCCAGAGACATGGCACCACAACCAAAAACCATGGCCACGCCCCCTCTCGTGACATCACGCTCCAAAAGCCCTATTAGGCTAATCGTTGCGTCACTTCCGGTATTTCAGACAATCCCTTTCCGTCAAGGATTTTTAATTTGTTGCGGGTTTCTGTAATTTGTTGTGGTTTTTTAATTTGTTGTGGTTTTTTAATTTGTTGTGGTTTTTTAATTTGTTGTGGTTTTTTAATTTGTTGCGGTTTTTAATTTGTTGTGGGTTTTTGTAATTTGTTGTGGTTTTTGTAATTTGTTGCGGGTTTTTGTAATTTGTTGCGGGTTTTTGTAATTTGTTGCGGTTTTTAATTTGTTGTGGGTTTTTAATTTGTTGTGGGTTTTTAATTTGTTGTGGGTTTTTAATTTGTTGTGGGTTTTTAATTTGTTGCGGGTTTTTAATTTGTTGCGGGTTTTTAATTTGTTGTGGGTTTTTGTAATTTGTTGTGGGTTTTTAATTTGTTGTGGGTTTTTAATTTGTTGTGGGTTTTTAATTTGTTGTGGGTTTTTAATTTGTTGCGGGTTTTTAATT